ACTTGAAATAGTTTCCACTGAAGTGTGCGCGCCACACAGAAGAGTTCACAGCAGTATTAAATATTTCACGTAGGAGAAGGCAAAGCTATTTTGGACTGTTTGATGTTAATTCCGGGGAAAAAAAAACACACACACTCAACGCCTTAGTTAATTCATAGACGCGTGCCTTATTGAGAGTGTTTTTGCAACACCTTCATCATTCTTTATCTACAGTTTCCTCCTTAGTTCATTATCTCACTCTTGCTTCTCCTTGCTTTGAAGTTTATCGACAAATTCCGACACTTATCGAATCGATTTGCGTACAATTTCGCTTTTCAACACAATTTTAGGGGTAAAATAGATCAAAATCGACAGTTGAAGGACTTATTAATCCATAATTATCCTATTTTTTCCATAAACTTGTGTTAAAAAGGAAATTGCATGCAATTCATATCGATAAGTGTCGATAATTTCAATCAGTTCAACGTGAAAAAAAGGAAGGGGAATAATCCTTGAATTAGTAGTCCATCATTCTACCGATTGATAGAGGATTTGATGATTTCTGAAGTGAAAATTATGAAGAACATTAAGAATATTTTCTAGGCATATCTTAAGAGTTCAATTTATTAAACTAATCTAAGCATTGCAACCTGTTTTAGGAGAAGAATTCAAAATTACATTTTGATATCATGTTATTCAGTTCATTGTGATAATTTATCGAATTCAATGTCTTGACAATGCGAACAATTACGAATGTTTAACATCGTCGGTATTATTGGCTTTGTAGGCGCTCTAAAGCCCCTTTAAAACACTACGCCACTGCATACAATGTTCCCCTTTTAGACACCCCGACAGTGTCTGGGAAAGAGTAAATAGATGGGAAATATTGAGAACTTCTCCCCGACAATTTATTTCCATTTATTCCTCCCTGTAAACCTGATGGAAAATCCCTTTTTGCTCTCTTCTCTCATCCACATGTCTTTAGCAATTTTCTCCAGTCAGAACAGTGACACACAATTGGAATCATGCAAATGCTTCCATCTTCTAAATTACGCAATTTTCCCTCACATCTATCTAATCGATTTCCCTGCCTCTCCTACGCATCTTCTTCCCTCGCAATTTAATCATACACATTTTCCCTTCGCCACTGCCAACCGAGGAGATAAAGAAAATTCCGCCTATATTGTCTCGTACTCTTATCAATTGTCACCTTGAGAATTGATAAAGGTTGATTTCTTGTCCCTCTTGAGAAAATTCACTCTCATGCCAAATTGTGAATTGAGTTCAAATGTTCCAATGGAGAAAAAGAAGAAGAAAAATAATCGCCTATCATCAAATGTTCTACAATTTAATTGATGAAATGTCAACGAAGTATGCGATTTTATCTCCAATCGTAATAAGTAGTTATAAGGAGAATTAATTACAATAATCCCTCAATGTGCTAAATTTGCATTCATTCACATCTCTCTCTCTCCCTCTTCCTCTCTCATTTCAGGCATTCATTCAACATAGCCACTCAAACAGAACACTTGCAATTGTTGAACTTATTATTAGAGTTGCGGGAAAGACTGTTATTAAATAGATTTCACAGTTTTATCGCATATGCCAAAGGAAGGAAGCAAATAAGAATATACAAACTTGTGATTTACATGCTCTATCGCAAAGGAAAATTATTTTGAAAAACTGCTCTGTGTGTGTGTGTGTTTGTGTGCATAAAAACACTCCTATCACCGCTATGATGATTGCTCTCACTTCACCATCAAATATCGATTTTGATTTTCGTGTCATCCAACGATGCGACATCAAATCAACTTTATTCAATTGACAACAACATGAGACGCGCGCGCCCTCACCCGAAAAATCCCACCCAAAGTGCGCCCCCAACTTAACAACATTTCCTCATCGTTCCATCAATCAGTCACTCCTTTCATTACAAAATTTCTCCATCGAGTGTGTCACAAAAAGGCTCACAGACACTCACTCAATGTCTCTGACGGCGAAATGTCCTCACCAACACCCTCGCATTGCCATTTTCAGTCGCGAACACAGTTCAAAGGTGATGAATTTTCCACAAGCACTTCCCCAAAAAATGCTCTACTGAAATTTCGTGTATTCCGTAAGCTTTTATTGGCGTGTCGGAAAAACACGATAATTATTAATGTAATGAACATTTTCTCTCTTTCTCTCTCCTAAACACCTGCTAATTATATCGTCCACAATCTGGAGATATTCAATTTGAATATCTATCGCCGCATTAAGTTATGCAAATTTCGAAAGTCTATAATAAAACATGGTTTTCCGTTTGACACACAGTGAACCGATCGAGATGATATCGTGCGTTAATTCGGCATCATTTGCAATCTCTCACAAATGCCCAAAAAGTGGGCGGAGCATTCGCGAAGGCGGAGTTCAGTTTTGTCATCTCTAAACGAACGCCAAATATGAATTTTTTCTTCAATATTATTGCAAATTCACCTGAAAAATACAAATTATAATGGTATTTCAAGCAAAATTGGCATTTAAAAATTGCTTGTCTAACGATAAAATCGAATTTTGAGTGTTCTTGAGAGCCAAAAGGAGATTTTCAGTCAAGAAAACTTGCTGAAGCATTTAATAAAATTCAACTCTAATAAAACACACTGAGCTTTTTCATGATAGGAAGTACATAAATAACTTCCGAACCAACCCAATTTGTGAAATTCCAACTTAATTTTCCTGTCAATATTTTTCTCCTCGGTGGCCAAAGCAGTTGAGCAGCAGTTTGGCAGAGTAAAACTCTGTGCACACAGAAAAAAAACCCCTTCACAAACCCGATCTGATGGGGTTCTCAATGGGTGAAACAGTGGGAAAGGCTTCAAACAAGTGGCACTTGCATCACACTTGTTCGTCGCACACAAGAAAAACTCTATATTTTAGAGTGTGTAAGAAAAATCGCACCGCCGATGAAAAATGTAGTGGAACTTTCCAATTGATTTGTGAAATACAGTATAATTTAATATCTATTGGCCCATCGAGAATTCAGCATTTGCAATGCAACCCAGAAGCAAATGGACTTTCTGTCTGCGAAGCATTGAACAGAGGCGTTGGTGGAAGGGGAAAGAAAAGTGTCTTATCGGGAGGAAGAAAAAAGCTGAAGAGAGCATATAGTGTCGAAATCTAAAATAAACCCCTCCTAAAAATAAATCGATATGGTGTGTATTTACGAGCGTAGAAGAAATATTCTATTTACATTTCAATGTCTCTTTCATAAGAATTTCTGCCGGGAAAATAAAACAGTCATTCCGACAGAGGGAGAGAGAGAGTTGACACGGAAAGGAGAGTAAAAAGCGACGTTGACCCAACACACAATTCACCCCGTCGCGATGGGAAGAGCGAGCCACCATTTAATTTATTGATTTCAATTTGTGATTTGATAGCCAGACACAATCAATGTCTCACTGCACGTCAATTCAGCTGAATGGAGTGAAGAGAGCTTCTTGAAGAAGGTCATGTTAAATGCAACCATTAAGGCGTTCGTTGAGTGTGTTTATGTAGCGCTCGTGGATCCCACAGATAAATAAATCTCGTACCATTAATTTCGCTGATTTTTACTGTTGCTGTTTTTCTTTCACTCAACAACAAAACCCAATCAATCATGAACTCAACAACATTCTCACAAATCTCTTGCATTCCTTCCTCCACTCAGCGCAACTCTCTTTCTCCCCCACGCCTAAATATCGGGCATAATATTCGCCATGACCATCAGAGCAAATATCAATCGCACACAAATCGATTGAGTAAATTTTTCCCTTTTTTTCCCCTCTCCCGGAAATTCTCTCATACATGCGAAAATATTCACTGTCAAGAAAGGTGAATTTCCAGGCATTTATTTGCACATTTGGCCAATTTCTTCAGCAGTTCAGAATGAAAGTAACGGTGAAATTAAGATAAATAAAGCAAAAGAATATTTCAGCAAGAGAATTTGCATGTCAAAAGAAGATTGTCGCTGATTTTACAAGTGTGTTGAATATTATACATTGTCAGTTAATGTACGAAATGAGATTTCAGAGACAAAATTGTATTTTTCCTCATTCGAAGGCAACTTTTGCATTCTCAATGGATAATTTTGCGCGAAAAGTGGTTCATTAGACTAATGAATATCGCTGAAGAGCACTGATAGTCGCGAATTGACACATTGAGCGACTTTTCAGCGGATAACGAGGCAAAAGTGACCAGAGATTTGAACACAGTGAACCCTTTTCGAGAGAAGCAGAGAACAGGCGAGATTGTTGTGCAACTTCCTCAGGCGTCTGCCCCATTTTTTCCGCCTTAACAACACCGGGAGGACATTGCCTTCCCTCTTTCTGCGCCACCCATTCGAGCCCCCGCCGCCGAGATCCAACCCCAGCCAGAGCAGATGCGCCCCATTTCCTCCAGCAGAAAACTTGGCTTTTCTCCGCATCGTCCGAAGGCGCGCTGAGGGTGTGTTTGTGAGCCTCTTGTGGACCAGACAGAGACAAAGAGACACACAATGAGTGGCCTTTCATTGACTCTCCGCCGTTGACATCGTGACGTGGAGTGTGTGTGTGCGCGGATTAATTGGGCTGACAGGGAGATTCCGCCACAAGTCATCTCGGGGGGCCTTGGCGGGCAAACTGGAAAGTCTCTCGGCCGCGAAACTTTCACCCTGGCCGCAGAAATCGGAGAAAATGAGGCACTTTTCAGCTGAAAAGTCGCTCTCGCGCTCTCGCTCTCGCACTCTCTCGCTCTCCCTGGGCATGGCAGGCCACAAAAGAACCGGAAGCGAGCGCAGAGACGCACGGCGAGGGCGCTCGCGGGCCGTGGCGCCCCTGTGCAGTGGAGAGTCGCCGCGCGGGGGCGCGCCCGCGGCGCTGCGGCGCCCCTGCGGCGGAGTCCTCCGATGGGGGCGCCACCATTTTGTGCAGCGGGCGAGAGAGCGAGAGAGAGAGGCTGTCGCTCGCTCTCTCGCGCGCCCAGCTCTCTTCCGGATCTCTGGGGCCCCGTCCGGGCGACGCACTCACCTGCAGCTCGGCCCTGTCCACGTCCCACTGCGAGCGCTCGTGCTCGAAGCGCGCCCACTCGTGCTGGATGAAGTGGAGGATGCCAGGAATGGAGTAGTGATGTGGTGGCCCACTCGTCTGGTTACTTTGATTATCATCTTGCTGTCCCTTATTGTTAATGGCAGTCGCGTTATTGCCACCCATCTGCGATGAGACCACCACACCGCTCATGCCACCGCCTCCGCCACCGTTCTGATGGCCCAGTGACGACGAATTTTCATCCATTCTGTCTTCTGTGCGAGTTATTCTCATGACATGTCCACCATTGTTACTTCTCAGCGGACTCGATTCGAGGAGACTCCTCGCCACTCACTCACTCGGACCCAATCGCACGCGGAGCGCCCCAATGCACGCACACACCGTCTATTTATGCACCTCTGCCGCGCACAGTCACCACATAGGGCGCGTTTTCACACTTTTTACCACACTTTTCACGATTTTTCACTCGACAAGGGGCATTTTTTGCCAAATTATCGAACATGGACGCCAGTACTGCCAGATGAGCCACACTGTCACTCTGACAATCTCACCACCTCGCGAGTTGCCCGATCGCAGGCCAATCGAATTTGCGCGCCAGGTGGCGCGCTTCCTCGCGTGCGCCGCGGGTGTTGAAACATTGGCGCTGCCGTCGGCGAAGTGAGTCGGTCTTTTTTCTCCACACAGGGACGCCGTTAGTTGCGCAATTGTGTGAGTTTTTCCTTGATAATATCGCAATGGAGCACCAATATTGGTAGTGATTCTTGTGCGCGCGACTCTTCGGACCACGAAGGTGAAGGATATTGTGGAGGATCGCAGAAATTCGGTGAGTCTTTCTCAGATTTCTCTTTCCATCGCATTCGAGAAAATTCCGAGTGAACAAAAGCCAAGCCAAGCTTTTTTCCTTCCCGTTTTACTCTTTCATCCGACTGCGGATGAGCTTTTATTGTCTTGGCATCGCTGTAATATCTCGAAATCTTCCTGCACAGCTTCCTCCAGAGCACCATTGGGGCTCTCCGCGAACGCTTCCTGTGGTGCGGATGTTCCGCAAAATATCGGCGTTGCAATCGCGGCAGCCATTTGTCGTCGACAATCGACGCTGTGATTGCACAACTCTTCGGGGGGTTTTTTGCTGGAAATTCTGCAATGGAGCACCAATATCGGCTGGGATTCCTGTCCGCGCGACTCTTCGGATCACGTAAGGTGAGGAAATTGCAGGGGATCGCGGAAATTCGGTGAGTTAATCTGAGATTTCTCTCTATATTCATTTTCGTGAAAATTTCACTGAAAGCTTTTGTTTTCCCTTTATATGTGAAATTTTTTATTGATCTTCCAATAGTTTTGCTGATATAATCATATCTCTAAGAATTGAAAACAAATTTATAAGGAAAGAAGATATTCCAGAAGGAATCCTTTAAGAGTTTGAACTGGATCGTAATTTCCATTTCCTTAGGTATGAATCAAAAGATTACAATTAACATTAACATTACAGCCATTTCATATGTATAGAGCCTAACTTACCACATCGGAACGTAAGTATCGGAACGTTTGAAAGGACATTCCGTCCTGCTGTTGTCTTGAGGTAAAATTCCTGCGCCAAGAAGCGTTTCATTATATTTTGTTCAGCCAACCTTTTGGAATTGAGGATCTCAAAATTTCCTTAATTTCCTTTAGCTGTAACAGAAATAAAACCTAATTTGTACATATATTATGATAAAATGCAAAAGCTTACCAACTTCGCTCTGCTCTTGATGATCAAGAGAATATGTTTGGAATTATTCCATGGTAACGTTAATGAAATAATGTGGAATTCATCAATTAAAGATATATTGGAGAATGTCACAGATAAACCATTGATAATGAAAACCCCAAAATGCATCATTTTTAATATGCATTGAAGAAAATGGACCAAATACATTGTCCAGATGGGATTTAATAATGTCTTTGGCGCCGTCTCCTGCAGATCTGGCTGCTATTCACATACTTACGGTATCCAGAGATTTTTGGAAATTCTGCAATTTTATTGCTTAAGCACTGAAAAAATTAATGTAGAGGAATAACGCAAAAATGAGCTTACCGCTTATTCGCTAAAAAGTCAGTGTTCACTCTTTTTGCTCCTTTCTCCTACTAACTCTACTAACTTGACTCACTTCACTTAACGTTGTCCTCTCACTTTTTCATCTAACTTCAGGTGATTTTCCCTACATTAATGATTTTTATTTGTGGCTGCCGGGCAAATTGTCATACGCCACTACCAGAAGTTTTACATGTCGGTTGCTTACCGGTTTCTTAAATACACTTCTACTCGTAAGCACAAATCACAAATGAACCATTCCCAAACTGCAGTAACCATGAGCGGAACCATTAAATAAGACATGGCTCTTGTCCAAAATTTGACGAGGCTCCAAACATTCTTTCTTGACTTCTAAAATAAACAAAATTACTTTATGTTCTTGTCTAACTACAAATTGCAATTCTAATTTAAATTAACCCTGGGAGTTGATTTCAAGGGTTGTTGTGCCTCAACTAGGGCCTTAAATGCTTCAAATGAGGCTTCCAATATCTCTCTCTTGCTTTCGGACCTCACGTTGTAAAGTGATCCAAAGCTCCCGAACACTGACTGGAAGTCCACAACTGCCCTCCTAGCTGCATCAAAGGGTCTACTGGGATGGTTCTTCAGCATGTAGCAGAATCTGTTGAATACCAGTCTGAGATTTTGCCGGAAAGCTACTCCTTGGTTTAGATTGTCCATCTTTAATGTGAATGCGTCACGGTAATTTTCACCCAATTTTCCCATCCTGATTCATGTTGATTGGTCTCCATTTTTGAATCAGTTTGAAAGATTGGGGATGCTTATGCTCACTGAAGACTCCCAATAAATGCGAGTTTTTTTAAGAATAAAATATCATTCTTGGGATTCATAATCACATCTGACGGTCTTTGTACAGACCCAGAGAAAGTCGCAGCTGTTGTGAATTTCTCTATTCCCACAAACAGAACTGACGCTATTTTGGCGTGGCGTCGTCTCGCGTGGTTATTTTTCAAGCTGAAGTCAGCAATGAATAGAATTTTTATAATCAAATACGTTGGAGTAGTCTCCAACAATTACGTTTGTTATTTTTCGTATTACTTCTAAATCCATAAGATGCATAGGATCTAGTGCAATGTCTTTTATTATATCAAGCGAATAGATTTTTTCAATGCCTTTGATTTGATAGGGAGGTTTTGTATGATGTGTGGAATATCCTGGCGGCATCGGAAAGACTCATTGGTCTGAAGATGATCAGATTTCGTACTGTACTCTACTCGGTGACTTAATTTTACCAGTTACCATAGACCGTGCAGGTCTATCGCAACACACTAAATTAATTCGGAAACTCATATGTTTTTTAAGACGTGTGCATAAAACTCCGTCGGAGATTAATTTGCGGTATTAATTAACAATCTTCCATAGATTCATTAATATTTTTAGGGTTTTTCTCGCCCGCATATTTTCCCCAATTAGGAAAGGAGAAACATTTTTCATATTGCTGAATGCTCCCTGTATTGGCCATAACTTTTGATTACTCCTGAAAACAGGAAGCCCATCAATATTGATATCAATTAACATTTAATTTTCTTCTTTGGGAAAGAAATCGTCTGGAAATGCAGATAGAACATTCTGAATTCCAAAATGATAGTATTCTCCCGGTGGAACAATTCGCAGATAAATCTTTGTACGAGGAGTGCCGATCAAGGTTCTTCGCGTTTTGGGCAAGTCAATATTTGGGATTGCGCAGCCGATAATCCGCGTGCGCATGCAATGGTCAAATACTTCCCCATATCTTGAGCCCATCGGCTGCTGCTCCTGTCCATTTCACACAGCGATGATCTCGATTGCCGATGATAATGCAATCATTGGATTTGTATGTGATTTTTTTGTATGTGAGAAAGAGTGAGTGATTTTTGTTGTGGAAATTTATTCTCCTCCTCATCACTAACATTTTGCAAATAAAATATTTTGTGTATGCTTCGCACAGTCATTCGTTCCAATGTGAAAGTGTGCAAAAGTTTCTGTACTTTTTCGCATATTTATGGAAAAATTGGTCTTTTCGTTGCACTTTTTTCCCGTGAAAACTCCCGAGAGAGGGAGGGAGTGCATATAGTGTGGATGGGCGTGAATCCATGTGGAAAAATGGGTGGAAATTGCGTGCATGTGAATGTAGGAAGTTAAATAGTTTTCGGTCTGGCACTCCTTTGCAATGCCAAAACTTCAACTCGATTCTTTCGAGTTTGTCGTAGTGCCAAAGTCATTTCCACCCGCGCGTTTTGGCTGTAGGAAAACTTGCAACTTTCCCTCCCTTTGCCGCTATTGATTCTGCGGGAGTTGCGATACTCTCCACTCTCTCTCTCTCTCCCTCTGCAATTTGTGCACGTTGTCATCATCCACAATATCACGCTTGGAGTGCGCATTGAAATTTTAATATTTTTGCTGACACGTCTCGCAATTATCAAAGGAGTTTAATTGAAAATGTTCTCAATGCTGAGCGCACAGGAACTAAATTTCCCAACTACTTGCACGTTATTCGCGGGATGGGCAAAAAGCGCGCAGACTTGCCATCGTAAAATGTTTATAATGAAATTTAAATAACTTTCCTCCTCTTTCTGTTTTCCACTTGCCCAGTTTGTGAGATGAGAATGTGTGCCACACACAAGTTTAATATTAAAGAAATCCCTGACATTCCAGTTGTTTTGCCCTTTTCATCCGCTCTGCCACGCTCATATTTTGCCCCTTTTTTTCCTTTGAGTCTCCCGGCGGAAAGAAATCATATCGAGCTTACGGAGATTCCACGAGATCCGCAGTGGCAGAGGAAGGGCAAGAGGTGGAGGTATAATATGGCAATACAGTGTGGATATCAAGAAAACTTAAAGTTTTGTCAATAAATTCCGAGAAGGCCCGCAGACTGAATGAATTGGGCAATTTGTTTTCCACACTTTTCCCCCCGAAAATGCCTTCTTGCCGGGGTGAGAGTCTCTCTGGGCCCCGAAAGACCGACAAAACAATCGATGGAACTGCAGTGAAATAAATTTTTGCGGTCATTGATACCATCTGCAACAACAGACATTTCTCTATATATGAAACCTAACAAAACCCCCGAAAAGTTTCACCCCTCGTGGAGAAAGAGGCCACGATATGTTTTGGGGTGACGAAAAGTTTTCGTGGGATTTTCTGAAATCCCACCGAAGGAAAACGAGTTCAGAAAATAACTATCATATAAGTTTTACAGTGGTGGAAAATTAAATAGAGCATCTTGTGGCATGAAACAATTAAAACACTGTCAATTTACACACCAGAAGATTCGATGTTTCCGTTCTCTAGTAGGTGCTAACTATGGAGGGGCGTCCTTCTTCGCTGTTGAAAGCACGTCTTGAGTGCGAGGTAGTGCGCGGAGTAAGCGCACTGCAGATTTTTCTCGATCTGACCACATAATTTTGCAGGTTTTTCTGTGGCTGAAGACCACAGCTTACGCTTGACTTGTCACGATTTTCTCACTT